ATAGTTTACTATTTTATAGACAAGGTTTTTCTCTATCTACTATATAAATTTCATATATTTTTAATCAATAGTTAACTAAAAATTTAACAAAAACAAAAATTGTATTTCATTTACTTTAGGATTAGGGTGAGGCCTGAGATTTTAGCATGGTATTAAATATATACAAAATTTAGCAAAGAATTTTTTTTGTTAGAACATCAAAGGTAGTTTCATAGATGAGTTCTTGAAATATTGACATTTTTTAAAAAAAATATTTTATTGTTATTATGCATGATCCTGCAAATCTATTGGCTAATTATACACTGGTAATGATCATCACCGGTTATAGTTACTAAAATACTTTAAGTAATTTTATAACTTATTAGAGTCAGGGTTAAGGTTAGAATTTAAATTAGCTCAAATTAGTTAGGTTTTATATATTATAATCTTGTATTAACTTATATATGCCCACCTATACTAAAGGAGATCCATTTTTTGAAAATAAAATTAAAAGCCGGGTGGCCCGGTCATTTTTCAAATTTTATGTTATGAGAACCAAAAAATTAACTTTGTATGGCCTAATAGAGAAAACTATAACAATATTGAACCTAATCCTAACCTAAACAGACCTTAACTGATATTAATTATATTATTTTTAAGTATATAAAATTCTGATAATTTGAACTAAATAATAAAATGTTATTCGAAATTTCAATGATCAAAATACAAATAAACAAAATTTGTTTTCATATCATTTTGTAAACAAGAAATTGTGTTATAGAACTTTCATAATGCGCAAGCTTGTGGATAAATATCACAGCAATTTTGTATTTCATTATGAAACCTTTTATAATTATGAATATTATTATCTGGATACTTCAAAAACATTTATTCAAATTTCTTTGCAGACTTTAGGTTAATTGCCAAGACAAAAATATATTTACTAGAACTTTAAGTATAATAATTTATTTACGATGACATTACTATACTCAAAAAAAAATCTATTTTAAAAATCAATAAATAGAAAAGAATATATACAAATTTTGTTTTTAATAAAAAAAAGTAAATATCTACATTGTGTGGGTATAATAAATTATTTTCACGTTTATAGTAGTTATGTAATAGTCACACTTCAGCTCACAATTAGGAGCAAGTTATTCTTCACCACGCCTCCGCAGGATCGGCCTCAGCATCACGTTTAATGGCACTAAGTTTTTTTACAGGATCGGCCTCAGCATCACGTCTAGCGCGTCTAGAACGAGCCTCAGCATCACGTTTAAATAAGGAGGCCTGCTGAGCATCACGTTTAACTAAGGAGGCCTGCTGAGCATCACGTTTAACCTCCTGAGCATCACGTCTAATACGAGCCTCAGCATCACGTTTAAAGAAGGAGGCCTGCTGAGCATCACGTTTAACCTCCTGAGCATCACGTCTAATACGAGCCTCAGCATCACGTTTAAAGAA